AAAAAGAAAAACTTTCAGAGGTTAATGCAGTCTCCAGATGACTCATAGCTCATAATGTGCTTTTTTCCTCTCATGGCAGAAATCATTTTGTACCATCAGGTCTTCAAATGGAGCACATCTCGCTGCAGAATGAAACACTTCAATTCACTTATTAAATAACGGAGTTCACAGGCGAGGGGATGGCATTTAAGGACAGGCCGTGAGGCTGTGAGAAGACATTTGAGAGGAAAAAAACAGAAAGTATAATCACAGGTGTATGAAGAAGAGCTGTTCTCTGTCTCTGTGTGTTTGTGCCCTGATTTATGGGTTTAAGCCTGACAGGAAGTGGTAAACAAGACTCTCTGGTACCTGAGATAATGCACCTCGACCCCTGATCCCTCAGTATGAGCTCATTCGCACATCAGGAAGCAGCACAGCAGGAATTTGTGTGCGTGTTGGTGTAGGTGTTCATGTGTGTGTGCGTCCATTTGCAGCATTTTCACTGCACAAGCTCTAAAAACTCCAGTTGAGTGTCTTTTAGAAGCTCGGCAGGAAAACATTCAGGGAAAAAAAAAGAAGAAGAAGAAAAAAAAGAACCAGTCGATTAGAGAGTCGTCACACGTATCGCCTCCTCTTCAACCTGCACCTTGGCTCGCACATCCATCGACGGCAGCGCTGCCAGCTAACGCTTTCAAGAGTCTGTCAGTCAGTTTGAAGCGCGTTTGGAAACCGTGGCACGTTGTTAGGAGACACGGGTTGTCATATCGTGGATGTTTTGTCAAAGACTCGCTCCGAGGGCGTCGGGGAAACGACCGGCGGTGGGAGAACTGATGAGGTGACAGCGGCATATTTTTAGAGCTGCCCTCAAACCTTTACATGTCACCTTGTCACCATTAACACCTCTATATCGTCGCCGGCGCTTTGACACGTTAATTATGGGCGAACCCAAACAAACGTCGTCTACTCCCACACGCACGAGAAAACCAGAAGAAGGCCTGAGGATTAATTCTGTGTATTTCAGTGTAATTTAATGCTTTGTGACAACTTAATTATTTCACAGAACGTAAACAAATATTTTCTTTTTGTTTTACTCGGCAGTAATTGCTGCAATAAGCAAGGTTTACCTTATCAGTATGAAGGAAATGGAAATTTTCATTTGGTAGAATAATGACACCAGCAGAGTTTAGACAGGTTTCTTATGATTCTGATTAGAGAAAGACACTAAATTGAAATCTATGGGACAAATATGTGGCAAAAAAAAAATAGTGGTAAAAGTATTTTGCAGACATGTGACCACTAACCAAATGAAATTACCTGTGAGAAGAGAATAAAGGCCCAGAGATTAGTCCTCAACCAGCTGTTAGCCACTGGTTGTGAGGGGAAAAATTCTGAGTGTTTGCTAAAATTGAGTCACACCAGACCAGTCCGTGATCCTGTGGCAACCAAAAATCACAAGAGAAACATTTATATTCCCAAACTGGTTTTCAAAAGCCTCCTGGTTGCTAGCATATTGTTGCAATTGTAGTTGTCGCTTGAATGGAAGTGACGTTGTCTACAAATACTGTCCTGCTCGTCTCTGAGCTGTAGGAAAAAGTGCGACGCAAACCAAATATGAAGAAAGTTCACCATGAAAGCAAAAGGCGTGCCAACATGTTTTAGAGGGAGCAACTTTTACTTTGGAGATGAACCATCATTTCCTGTTTGTGTTGCACTCTTTTGTTTTTTTGTTCTCCAAATTTTACGACCACTCAGCTGGTACTTAATGAGATTTTACAGACAAACTACAGGTAACCATAGTTCACCAATTAATGCTTACAGGTACAAGCTTCTTGAAGCCGGTAAGTACGGCGTTGTTATATCTTTAATTCATGAACTATAGTTTGACTTTAATGCTTGTTCTCATTAAATGCAGCACTTCCTTCTAAATACTACACAATTTCTGTAGGGCAGCAAGTTTTATGGTCAGGTCAAATATAGTCTGTATATGTCTGAAA